GTTGGTAACCATTGTCATGGGGCAACATGTGTACTAACTGTTAAATGAGAAACTATTTTGTTCTGTAAGCCTTCGCCTAAAGTGAGAATAGCAGCACAACTGGAAGAGCGTAGTCGATGTCACTGAACTGTGCATGTAGAAATTTTTGAAATGGTGTATCTTTGGCTATGTATATTTTCACCAAAAAAAGAAAGGTCGAGAGGGGAGAGGGTTGACATGTTGTGGGGTTGGTTAACCAATGTCATAAAACAAGATGTGTACTACTGGTTCATGAGAAACTGTTTGTTCTGTAAGCCTTCACCTGAAGTACAATTAAAAAAAAAAAAAAAAAAAGTTCAACAAAGTTGAGTGTTGCTTCAAAATAAAAAAAAAAAAAAAAGAATCTCTACCCAACCCACTTCACGGGGGAGGTTTGCCTGGGAGAAGGCAGAGATTTGGGTATGGTGAAGTTTTCATCAATAGTTCTCAATTTATTATAACCCTACACAGCCTGATAGGTGATTTTCTATTTCTTTCTCGAAAACATTTGTTAATTTATTCCAAGGGCAACAGTTTGTTACTCACCTGCCTCTCAATGTCTGAAAGTAGAGAGCTGGCACCTATTCGAAAGAGTTCTGGTTTCAGCCACTCATTTCCCAGCTCTTCCTTTATAAGAGAGAGCCAAGCAAGGGAATCCTTGGCAGTGCGGATGCCTCCTGCTGGTTTAAACCCTACCTATAAAGGAAGGTGGGGAAAAGAACAATGCTTATTGTCATCAGATTGCTTTAAAAAACAGTGCTGAGTTTATACAGGGTCTCAATTCTCTCTCCTCTCTCTTTTTTTAAGAGTCTAGACTCTTCACATCATCCAGCAAAAAAGCTTAGATAACCAACTCACACCACAAAATAACTTTCTCAAGATTAATGGGAAGAATGTCACTGCTTCTGGGGAGACACTAATGAGGGTTAATAACCCTTATTAACATTTCACTTATTGGAAAGTCATAAACCTCAGCCATCTAGCATAGCTGTGAACCTGGGATAAACAAGAGAAGTGTCAGTAAATAGGAAAACAGGTATCACAAAAGCCCATTCATTCTACATTTCTACAAATAAGCCTTCATCTTTCAGCCTTCATCCGGAGGTTCAAAAGACACAAGGCCACGTTAAACAAACTGCCAGCAATCCAGCAAGGAGAGTTGACCCTTGTTTTAAACAACTTAACTGCAGAGACTTATTTTTTCTTAAGCTGTAGGTAGACAGAGTTCTATAAAACAGGCATACCAGTTACAAAAGCAAAGTAGAAAAGAGTGTAGGGGCTCTTCACACTTCAGTAGTTTTTGAGGGTTGACTGTAAAAAAGCAATAGTCAGACAATGTCAGATGTTTATAAATGATGTTTCTGGGTCCATAAAGAAAAGATCAACATGTTCCATATACAGTAAAACCCTGCTTATCTGGATTTACTTGTCTCAGGAGCTTGATTATCCAGTAGAGTACAGAACCTGTAGATGGGAGAAACTAAAACAGCATCCCATAGTTCAAGCACACTTTTTGTCACTCAGAGCTGCTGGTTTGATAGGTAACACTAGCAGGAAGTAACTGCTAACAGAATGATAGAGTAGGGAGACAATGAATGAGTGGTTCCATCAACAACTCAGGCTAGAAACCTGGTGATCCAAGCTAGCAACCTCATGGTTAACCTGGACTCCACCATTTCCCTCACCACACCAAAGCCAATGAACAGTCAAGTCCTGTCATTCCTTCCGCCTGAACTTCTATCTCTCTCACATGCATACTATCCTCTCCACTCTCACTTCTACTGCTTTAGTTTAGACCCTTGTCAGTTCTCACATGGGATATCAGCAAGTTTCTGAACTGGTTTCTCTGATTTAATCACATGTCACACAGCTGATGAGTACCACTGCACGGATTCTAACCACATCTGCCTATTACTCCAAAGCCTAAAACTGTGAGTCTGCAGAAGTGGGGGGAGGCTGGGGGGAGGGGGAGAGGAAGGAAAAGTGGGATAAGGTTATTTGTTGAGAAGAGGCCAAAAAAAAAAATCAATGAGCTGATATTAGCATAATGTTAATCACAGGAGCATTCCTGTTAATTAGGCAGTGCTGTATATAGATTCTTCGATATAGTTCAGTTTGTGCAGCAAGTCTGTTTGGCAATGTTTCCAAAGAGAGGTTCTAGTATAAGTTTATCCTTTTTTTTTTTTCCTTTTTAAGGAAAAGAATATAGAAAACATAAATCTGCAATGAAATCAGTTATGAAATATTAAACTTCTGCTTCTCAGGAGTGACACTAATCATGGTCTGGAAGGCGGCCCATCATATTTTAAAACATCCCTTAAATCAATGAGGTACAAACTTTACAATCCAAGGGTTGCCCAGGCACCTTGTCAACAACCCAAAAGGCTGCACCTGATTTGCAGATACATGCACGGATTCTCATTGTGTGAAATCAAACGTGATTAAAATGAATACATTTGACTCGTATCTATCTTTTCTTAGTAAAACTGGGAGGTACTCTATTAGCTGAAGAAAGAGTCAATACAATTAAAAATAAAGTATTGAAAGACAGGAAGTTGTCTCCCCTCTGTACTGGTCTGGAACACCCTTTGTATACCTCTGTTGAAATTCTCTGATTGTTGTTTAAGGGCTCTCATTTGTTCATTTTTATATCCCCAGCATTTAACACAAGGAGCCCTCGTGGCACAATGGTTAAGTGCTGGGCTGCTAACCAAAAGGTTGCTGGTTCGAATACACCTAGCGGCTCCTGGCAATCTACTCCCGTAAAGATTACAGCCTACAAAACCCTATGGGGCTGTTCAACTCTGTCACATGGGGTCACTATGAGTCGAAAATTGACTTGTCAGCAGCTAACAACAACAACAGCATTAAACAAAGGACCTGGTCCACAGCATCTACTCAATGTTAGCTAAGAACAAAACAGTCCTCAAAGTTGAGTTTTAATGCTGGCTGCATATCAGCATTACCTGTGCAGCTTATGACACATCAGATGACTGAGTACTACCCCCAGCCCCCAGCCCCAATCCAGGACCGCCAGGTGGGGGGCCCAGGCATCTGTAAGTATAAAAAGTTTCACATCTGATTTTTACACTCTTTGGCCAAGAATGAGACCCACCAGTTTCATGAGTGGTGGCAGTGTAAATCAGAGGACAAAAGATAGATTTCTCTTTTTTACAGCTTTTCTAAAAAACAAAAACAAACTTATCTGAATCACTGCAGAAAGGCTACTGGAGTAGAGGTTACTCAAGTTGGGTCAGCTTTCAAACATAGGTCACAACAGATATTTATCCTATTTGTATGTCTTTACGATATGAAATTATTTTGAAGGAGAAAATCCTGGGCGGAGTTCATTTTCTCTCAAAACCACTACATTCTAACAATGACTCCTATTTCAAAATATACTGAAGCTATAGTCACATATAAAGTCATCGTATCCTGCTGGTGAAGGATTAAAGGTTTTTTTAAGGTTTCCAGTCATCAAAGATCAAGAGATTGGTTTAAAAAAATGTCTTCTAAGGAAAGGTAGGTCTCATTTAAAACAAACAAACCACAAAAAACACATTACCTTTCTCTCCAATGATGTAAAAAAAAAATCCTTTGAGATAATCTGCAGCTAAACAAACAACTTGAAGTGAAAAGGAAAATCCAAACTCATTAAAAAAAAAAAACCTCATACACATTTTTCCTTTTAACTTCACGTTTTAAAAAAAATACGTATTATTTTCCGAAAAGCTGACAAAAGCTAGCATATACCCTCCTCAGCTTAACAGTCTTCCAAAGAGCACATCCAACTGCCATAAAACGCAAAAATGGATATTTAATTCAAGAGCTATATAACGTCTAGCTACCTTTTCCCTGCTGTTTCACAGCATTTCATTATTTTGTTTAATAAGTTCATCTCCTCGAGAATTTTCTCTTCACCTCATATTATTAAAAGTAATAAGTTTTTCTGGACCGGGGGTTTCCCAACAGAAAAACCAATTTATGTGTGTCCTTCAATAATGACAGGAAAAGATTATTTCCCATTATATTGCACACTTTTCATAACACCACCACAGCTTATCATTCAATAAATGTTACTCTGCAATTCTTTCCATTCCTCAAGGAAGTTTAATTTCTGCATTAACCTGGTTTTGCTGGCCAACGCCTTGCCAGAAAGCCTCTGTGTGGCAGCAGAATTAGTTCGTTAAAGAACCCATTTAGGAATCTCTTGTCAGTGACAAAACTGTCTTCGGTTAATAAAAGGACTAAAGTGAGTTTACACCTTGATCACACATACTTACTTCCACACTCACACTCACTTTCTGTTAATTGCACATTCTTCCTCCACGAATGTGTTCTTTTGTAATGAAAGGTAAATTAAATATTTATCTTAATAAAGGTAACTCGTTCACACCTTCTGCATATAAAGACAGTTATCGTGGCTGTAACTAGTATTATAAATGACATTATCTTTACTCTGAAGAAAGATCTGCTGACAGTAATATACCTTGTTTCCAGTTTCCCAGAAGAAATCTCTAATGGCCCGCAGCATTACTATAGCTACTGGGAAGGTGGCATTTACTGCTTCTTTCCCAGTAGAGGTCTTAATAAAATCTGATCCTAAAACAAAGGAAGAAAAACTCCATGTTAATTAAAAACTTACTTTTTACACTTTTGAGTTAGGGGAAGAAATGAATTGTTTAAATGCTTTTCCTGAACAACACAACTTTATTTTTCATTAATTATCTGAAAAACTAAAACTAAAAATTTCTCTTTACCAGGCTTAGGGGACACTAACATTCTGTTAAGGGTGATGGAAAAATCTGAGGATGGTTCATGATGAACATATTTAATGTCACTGAACTAACTGCACATGTAAAGATTGTAGAAATGGCAAACGTTTTATTACCCATATATTTACCACAATTAATCACAAACAAACAAAAAACCCTATTCAATCCCAAGTATGGCTTTGGCAATTGCTTGTTTCTGTTTTTCAAAATGGAAATTTATACTGTTTTTTCTGGTATAAAGGAAATGAAGGCTCATAAAAAAAGAAACAACATATATTTTAAAATCTCCCTTTAAAATAATTCCAGCCATGCTTTTTTTTTTTTTTCCCTCACCATAGGATGAATTAAATTAAGCACCAAACGGATTCTCACTGACCTCTGGGATGCTTGCCTCTCTATACTTCCACTAAAAAAAAAAAAAAAAAAGTTGTCATTGAGTTGATTCCAACTCACAGCCACCCTATAGGACAGAGTAGAACTCCCCCATAGGGTTTCCTAGGCTGTAATCTTAACGGAAGCAGACTGCCACGTCTTTCTCCTGCAGAGAGGCTGGTGGGTTTGAACCACTGACCTTTCGGGTAGCAGCCCAGCATTTAACTACTGCACCACCAGGGCTCCTTCTATACTTCCATACCACCAACTAAAATCAAGTTGGTTTATTTTATATATAACTGAGATGAATAAAAACATTTTTATGCCCTGTGCTTTATATTATATATCATACAAACCTGGAGTGCCTACTCATTTTCCCATGCTTGACAGGACGCAAACCAGTGCACAGTACGGTTTTGACAACACAAGAAGAATCACCATTGGCTGATTTCTACTGCCCTGTTCATTAACAAAAAACTTATGTCTTCCAACCAGATTAGGATTTTCATGAAAGAGACCATGCTATTTCATAACCTGCAAATATTTTAAACTTCCTGTCTTTTAAATATATCTTAAACCTATTGATGTAGTTTAACAGAAGAGCAAATGGAGTCAAAGAAATGATAATAACAGTTAAAGTTCATTGAGTGCTATGCACCAGTACAGCTGCAGGTGCTTTCCAAGCATTAACTCAGTTAATCTTCACAACAGCCGAATGAGTTAAGAACTAATGTGATCTTCATTTTTAAAGAGGAAGTTGAGGTACAGAGAAGTTAAATAATATGTGTGAGATCACATAGTAAGGGATTGTTGTGTGATGTCGGGTCGATTCCAACTCACAGCGACCCTATGCGAAGAGTAGAACTGCCCACAGGGTATCCCAGACTGTAATCTTTATGAGAGCAGATCACCAGGTGTTTTCTCCCTCGGAACGGCTGGTAGGTTTGAACCTCAGACGTTTCAGTTATCAGCCAAGCGCTTAATTGTTGCCAAGCACTTAACTGTCGCGCCACCAGGAGGTAGAATTCTAACCAAAGCAATCTAGTTTAACCACAATGCTATCGTGTCTCTAAGAAACTTACGTAGGGTCACATAGTCAGACGGCCAAGAAGAGAATCCATCTCTCACGTGGTTACCCAGCCCCCAAATACTCAAAGTGTGGACCGTGGACCACCAGCATGGGCACCACCCTGGGAGCATGTTAGAAATGCAGTCTTTCAGGCCCTACACTTGGCCAACCAGGATGCACATGAACAAGATTTCCAGGTGATTTGTGTGTAAATTAATATGTGAATCTGTGACCCATGTCTAAGCCCACGGAATCTGTGGACCACACCTAAGGCTAGTCTCTGAGATTCTCCCAAGGATATTGAAAGAACTGGACAATAGAAGTGGGAGAAAGAAGTAGCCCAAACTTTCCACTCCAGCTGCAGTTGGAAAGGTTATTTCCACAACTATTTTGTATACCGAAAGATTCAAGTTGACAAACTTTCACTAATCACACTGTGTACAAGGCACTAGGAAAAATATAAAAACAAATAATTCAAAACCCTCATCGTCAAACTCCAGAGTGGCCATCTAAGATGCATCAATTTGTCCCAACCCATCTCGAGCAAAGGAGAATGAAGAACACCAAAGACACAAGGAAAATATTAGTCCAAGGGACAAAATGGCCACAGAAACCAGAGACTCCATCAGTCTGAGGCCATAACTAGATGGTACCCGGGTGCCACCAATGACCGCCCTGACAGAGAACACAACAGAGTCCCTGACGGAGCAGGAGAAAAGTGTGGTGCAGAACTCAAATTCACATAAAAAGACCAGACTTAATGGTCTGACTGAGACCGGAGGAACCCTCAAAGACATTGTCCCCGGACGCTCTGTTAACCCAGAACTAAAACCATTCCCGAAGTCAACTCTTCAGACAACGATTAGGCTGGACTATAAAACAAAAAATAATACTCGCGAAGAGTGTGCTTCTGAGTACAAGCAGATACGCAAGACTACATGGCCAGCTCCTGTCCGGAGGCAGGATGAGAAGGCAGAAAGGGACAGGAGCTGGTTGGATGGACATGGGAAACCCAGGGTGGAAAGGAAAAGTGTGCTGTCACATCACAGGGATTGCAACTAGTGTCACACAATAATACGTGTATAAATTTTTGTATGAGGAATTAACTTGAGCTGTAAACTTTCACCGAAAGCACAATAAAAAAAAGTACACACTCTAGAGCATGTGCAGAGGAGACAGGTACTGTGGGTGATCACCTGATGAGCTAGAAGTAGGAGGTCTAGTTTCTAGCTCTGTCTCTGACACTAACCTTGCAAATTCTATCTCCTTAAAATACGCCTGAGAATTCTTACACAAGGGATCAGAAGAGAATCCATGCAAAAGCACTTTGCAAACTGTCAAGAGCTATACAAATATAAATGGGGCAAGGACCTAGGTAGCTGCAATATGTGTAAATACCACGGGAACTCTGATGTATCAAGGCAGGTCACCAAAGGCCTTGTCTTTGGGCCAATAGGCCCACTGGGAGAAATGGAGACATGCTGAGTGCTTACTATGTGCCAGATGCTGTTCTAGATGCTGGGAATAGACCAATAAATAAAACAGACAAAATTCCAGCACTTGTAAACAGATTTCTAGAGGGAAAAGACAAGAAAACTTAAATACCAGGCGGAAATAAAGGCTGTGCGGAAAATAATGTAATGTAACAAAATAGAGAGTGATGGAGTTCAGGAGGGATGGTTAGATTTAAATAAAGTCATCAAGACAGCATTTATGATGAGTGACATTCAAACCCATGAATGAAAGAAATCTAGAGAAAGAACATTTCAAGCGCAGGAAATAGCAAGTGCAAAGGTCCTGAAGTCGCCATGCACTAACCTAATGAATGAATGAACGGATCTACAGGACCTACAACACAGAAATAAGATTAGCAAAGAGGAGAGATTAAAGTTTCCACACAAATGTAAGATGGTGAGGGGACATTCCAAAGAATTCACAATAAGACCAAATGTGTTTACACAAGGGATCAGAAGAGACATTGCCTTCTGATTCACTAGGGCTTTTGGGTATGACATTTTAGATCATCTAAATTCTTTTAAGCGTTTCAGAAGAGAAGAATATTAAGGTAAGTGACAAGGTTACACTTTGAGGTCTAAAATAAATAAATAAATAAAAGGTATGTTTATCAGGAGGGGCCAGTCCCTGGAGAAGGACATCATGCTCGGTAAAGTAAAGGGTCAGCGCGAAAAGGAAGAGAAGACCCTCAACGAGATGGATTGACCCAGTAGCTGCAACAGTGGGCTCAAGCTTAACAACGATCATGATGGTGCAGGACCGGGCAGTGTTTCGTTCCGTTGTTCATGGGGTCGCTATGAGTCAGAACCGACTCCCTGGCTCCGAGCAACAACAACATGTCCACTTAAAGATCAAACCATCTAAAGTTAATCAAAATAACCATACTCTTTTGGAAGAGTCTGGAGGCAGCCTAAGAGTGAAGACTCTTTTCCTAATGCATTTGGGAAGAGCAGAGGTGAAAGTATCCCAGGGGTAACAACAGCACCCCACACATTATTTGTATCCTTGTCTGTTCCCTTTTCTGGACTGTGATTGTAAGCAGCTTTCAGGGAAGGTATCGATCTTTCTTACTCACTTTTGTATCCCCAGAGCATGACACACACTAGAAGCTCAACAAACATTTGCTGGTTGGAGGGATACATGGAAGGATGGATGGACAGCCACAGCTACCAAGAAACAGGAAACTGTTTCTGACCTCTGACTATGAGTCGGAATCGACTCGACTGCAATGGGTTTTTTTGTTTTTGGTTAACTGACTCACGGGGAAGGGAAGAGAGTTTCATTTTAGCTTAAGTAACAAAACTAAGCACGTGGCTCAGAACAAAATATCTATTTACTTTTAAATAAACCTTGTATTTTAGAACAAATTTAGATTTACAGAAAAATTGCAAAAATAGTAGAAAGAATTCCCAAATATTCTGTATCCATTTTCCCCAATTAATAATACCTTACATTAGTATGGCACATTTGTTACAATCAGTGAGCCAACAGTGACATGTTATTATTAACTAAAGTCTGTACTTTATTCACATGTCTATAGTTTTATCCAACTGCCCAGTCCCATCCAGGATATCACAATACACTCCACCTCTGTCTTCATACAGCCTTCTCTTCCATGTGTGTCTAATCTCCCTCTGCCTCACTCTTACAAGGACACTTGTGATAGCATTTAGGCCCATGCAGATAATCAGAATTCTCTCATTTCAAGATACTGAAAGTCATGATGGGCTCAAGCATAGCAACGATTGTGAGGATGGCACAGGACCGGGCAGTGTTTCACTCTGTTGTACATACGGTTGCTATGAGTCGGAATTGACTCAAAGGCACCTAAAAACAACAACAATAATTTAAAGTCACATCTGCAGAGACTC